TTTTATTCTACTGTGACTGAGACATAACTAACACTGTTGTGAGCCAGATGCTGGTGCTAATCATCTCTTGAGTTTGTGCCAGTCACATTCTGTTTTGTTCTCATGAAACGTTATCGTTTCCTTCACTAGAAAAAGAGGGGAGCCAACTAATTGCTAATAACTGTCAATTAGCAAGCTCTAGTTTTGATTTGGCCTTCTGATCCTGGAATCACATCCATGTGCTTTTTGGAAGGCTCAGTATCCTAAGTGTGAATGTTGTTCTTTCCCCTTCTGTGCTCGTCTGTTTTGAAGATAAAGGCTTTACCAGACTTGTTATCAGAACTACCGCTGCAGTAAATATACATTTTACCCCAGAGACCGGAGGTTTCCAGCCGATTGCATTGTTTCTAGGCCTGTTTCACTACAGCAGCGAGAACACTACTTACTACAGCCTTAGTTAAATGATTGTCAGTAAAAAATGAACATGCAATACATGAATTTAACTGGGCTTACGTTCTTCCTATATATTGTTATTCAGACTTGAGGGGAATTGGAGTCCATATTTCATTTACTCCATGAATGCACTATAAACCATCAGCATAATGTGTCCTAAATGTTGAGTGGATGGGGCTCATAATCGTTATGATTAAAAAACAACAGAGATGGGATGCAATTGGTCAATTTGCTCAAAAGTGGAAATTCAGCTTCTGGTATTTACAAGCAAATCCAGCATTATGTTGTGTCTGGATCTTAATGTTGTCAGTATATTTATTAATCATATTGACTATTCACCCTAACTACTGTTCCCTGCTGCAGCCAGAGTCGCCACACAGGAGTGTCCTTGGTTTCACAGATAAACTGTCAACAAGCAGCTTAGAAACATACTTCCTCTAAATCTCCTCATACCCCTAAGTTAGACATTTCCCATCTGTTATTCTGAGCTTACCACATTCCACAAGCTGCCCTTTTTTTTTTTTATCTTACTTAAAGAAGAAAAAAACAGTTTTTCAGTGTTTTACAAGAAACACTGAAATTTACTGGAATGTCTGTCAGTTAAATACGGAAATGGCTTCCTGTAAAACACAGTACTGTATATTAAGTACAGTACGGTCAAGCTGACTGACCTATAAACATCAACTTTTCCATAGTTAACAGCCTAAAAGATATAGGTTACAGTGGAAGGCTAAGACTGTTGGTGTGTGTGTTAGTCCAGTAGTCAACTGTTAATACCAAAAAAATGTTGGAACAATGTAGCCAATGTGAGTTTGGAGACAAGGGCACAGATAGTGAGACGTGGAAGCTAGTGACCAAACCAGCAGCAAGGACTGTATCATACATCCCTGCACATGTGTGCACTGATGCACACGTTTGTACACACTTTTACAAGCTTGGAGACCTGTGTGCACATCCTGCATTTCTCCGTACCAACAGTTTTGTTGTTTTTCCATGTATTCCACCCAGCAGAAGTGAGAAAAAGGAGAGCAGAGGAAAGAAGGAAGGCAGAGTGTGCACTCTTATTGAAAGTTGCATCAGAGCCCCTAGACAGCTTTGTGAATTTCAGCCCAATTAATCTCAAGCTTGTGAGCAGAGACTGCATAACAAGACTCGTCTGTCTGACCTCAGGCCATCTCAGAGTATGTGTGTGTGTGTGTGTGTGTGTGCCTGTGTGTGTGTAACAGATAGTCAGAGTAAGTCAAGGGATGATTGTGCAAGACTCGTTCCCTGTTGTCACCTTGAGTATGCATGTGACACTGGAGCTTGTGTGCGCGCCTTTAGACGATGCTTATATGTGAGGCAGATTTGACTCTGTGCAGTTGGTCAGTTGCATGAGGTTGTGTTGTGTCAGACTCCCCATGGAGCCGTGCTACAAAACGACAAAACCTAAGCAGTGATATGATCTTTAACATGGTGACAACAGTTATCATCCACAATGTTCTTCTCTTTTGCACATACATTTTTTAAATATATGCACATCAGTGGTAATGATCTTACAGATTACCAAAAATGCCAGCTATAGCTCATTCTTTCCTCTCCTCAGCTTTTTGTAAAGGAAAACCGTGGATTGTTTATGAACATACTGTATACATAGTATGTAGAGTATGTTCATGAAGTGCAAAACCAGTGGGCGCATGCATACCTACCACACTTCCTGGTCTAGCCTCAGGTAATAGTCACCACCCACTGCAAATGAGCTTTTTTGGGAAAATAACGTTCTGTACAGGACCAAACCAATGTCTTTGAATGTTCTGGACAATTTAATACCATCTGTGTAAACTTCAAAATTTGCCAAAGTTTGGAACTTTTGAAGCTTAAAGAGTTTTTCCTTATTATTGTTATATTTCCTTATTTTTACATAACGACATGACCGCCCAGTATTAAATAATAGGGATTATTCTCAACAGTAAATCATGCAAAGCTACTGTCGTAGAGTCCAAAAATCGTGGAGCTGTAAATAAGCATAAAAGGGACATTTAAGATGACTAATGACAGTGATTGCCTGTATTGGCCATAACATTGTTCTGAATACATGAAACAGTGAATCTGATATAAGCTGGTCTCTGTGTTTTTGGTAAAAAGTCTTTTGTTGAGGCTTTGATAATATTAGTAATGAGTAAAACTTACAAGAGACCAGTGGAGGATGCATTTACCAGTGGTTGCACCTGGAGTGCACAACTTCACGTGTGTAGTGAGACGTAAGCATGACTAACATCAGTGGTATGTGGCTTGACCTCGATTTTTAAAAAGTATGTTAAATATATTTACAAAATAAAAACTACAGCTGAATTGAAAGACTTGAAAACTGTGTGACATGGTTAACCATCAGTATGTACAGGTGGATTAAAACGATTACTGAAAAATGAAAGTGGTGTATTAACAAAACAGCTGGTTTGATCTTGTACATTCAGTCAAGCAAGTGATTTATGTTAATGTTAAAGTGTTGGTGGAGTCTTTTGGCCTAGGTAGATAGTAAGAACAAACTTATCTGTTACATTCATAAATCACAGAGTTTCCACACAATGGCCAGACGGTAACTGATCTCGACAGTGAAAGCAGAGCTAACAGCAGCTTGTCTAGCATGCTCGTCTCGCATCAGTTTCCTGCCAAAAACCAGACGTTTATCCACGTTGTGCATGTGCAAACAACCAGAAAAGGCTGCCGGTCTCCTTTTTTTGGGACCTGGATACGGCCTGTGGGTGAGACCATAGTGAAACGGAGTTAATCTTGCTTCCAGAGACAATAGGCAACAAAATAGTAGTTATTTCAAGGATGGATGCAGACCACTCTTTAACATGAGAGGAGAAAGATTCCTTTTACAATGGCAAATTTTAATGGTCTGTTATGAGCTCTCATGGGATGCCACTGGCTAACAGTGGTGGTAAGCAAATACTCCCAGTGCTACATGCTAGCTGCATTGTAAACCTTTATCTTTCCCTGTAACCTTTTACCTTCAAAATCTATCACATATGCATTCAGACAATTTGCAGTTTTATAAGGCACCATTTAACATGGGAGATGATTAGCAAAATCATACTTGGTAGAGCAATGTCATTATAGTGGTAATACTTAATAACTCATGAATTAAACCTTTTCAGGTAACTTTCACATCAGTGAGGACGTTTTTTTTTTAATGCTGCTTAAGGGGAAAACTTAAATTTTTTGTCTAATAGTTATTGTAGTGGTGGAGATGAGTGTCCTTCAAAGGGTGGCTGGGCTATCTCTGAGATAGGGTGAGGAGCTCGGTCCTTTAAGAGCCGCTGCAGCTCCACATCAAAAGGAGCCAGCCGACTTGGATGAGTAGGATGTCTACTGGATGCCTCCTAGGCGAGGTGTTCTGAGCATGTCTACCAGGAGGAAGCCCCAAGGCAGACCCATGACTTGCTGGAGAAAATATACCTCTCAACTGGCTTGGGAACGACTCAGTATTCCCCTGGATTAATTGGAAGAGGTAGCTGGGGTGAATAAAATGTCTGTGTCCAAATGGAGATAAGTGGTAGAGCATGGATGGATAGAGTTACACAGCATTCTGGGAACATGTGACTGTTGTAATAATAATAAAGAGGTTCAAATGAGTCCGCAATAATTCTGAGATTTCTCACAGACTTCGATTATCGGTGTTGGGCTTGCATTTGTGCTAAAAAAAAAAAAAGGTACACAGATGCTAAACAATACCGTTTTTATTATTTCCGTCTGAAAATATTTTAATTGATAATTATGTTATGACAAACCCAAACCCAGAAAAACACAGTTAAGTCATTCAAAAAGTGACAGTCTGCGTTGGCAAATCATCTGCAGGAAGAGCAAGTAACTCGCATCTACTTAAAGGATCCCTTCAGGCCGTCTCTCTCGCTAACCCTAAGCCCGCTATCAGTTTTCATCAGCGTATGTGTGCGCTTGTGCACGTGTTACTGTGTGCACACTAACATACTGCATCATCTTTCTGCAGAAGGTCACTCCTAATCTCATCATTTGTGGATTTTCTCCCTTCAGCTGTACAATCCCAGCTGTATACAACTCTTGTGTTTCCGTTTTTGTTTTTTGTCATCCTGACTCGTCTGCAGGACAGCAGGCATTCTAATCCAAGATTTGGGTTTTTAGCAAAAAGCCACCATCTGCTAGCTTGATCTTATCATGCCATAAAAACGTTTTGATGGTAGACATTTAGAGTAAAAACATAATATGAGCAACTAGGTACTAAAATTAAATGTAAAATCTCCATTCTGTGAACATTAGAGTATGCCAAAGGTCAGCTTTTATCCTCCAACTTTTTGAAAGTGATTATTATTCAGTTTTAATGTGTCAAACCCAGCTAGCTTAAAATAAAAATGTAAATAAGTTTACTCGTTAGTTACTTCTTTTCCCAAAGGTTTAAGAGAAATCCAGTTTTTGTTTTCTAAGCAGGACACTTCTTTCTGTGCAAAGAGAGTTTTAAGGTTTTGAAAAGAACTTATGAAGTGTGACATTAATGCACGTAAATGTAAAACAATTTTTTCCTGCACTTCTCCATCATTCTGTTCATTTAGGGCCGTCTGCTGGTGAAAACTGGGCGTGTCCACCTAGGCGAGAAGGTTCTGCGTGATGCGGTTCAGATCCACAGCACCTCCCACGAAGCGTGGAGTGGACTGGGTGAAGCTCTTCAGTCTCGGGATTGCAACCAGGCCCCCGACTGCTTCTTGACAGCCCTGGAGTTGGAGGCCTCCAGTCCCGTCCGTCCCTTCACTGTCATCCCCAGAGAGCTCTGAGATGACGGCCTTGCAGTGGCATGGAGGTTTGGGTTGGGGTGAAGATTTTGGCTAAAATCTAATGATGAGCTGAAGAAAGACAATGAAAACATGAGCTTTAAATCAAAAGTTAGTTTTGGGTATTGGGTCTGTTTTCTTGCTGTTGGGGAGATGAACAGACTGGTATCACTCGTGTATTTACAATATTTGAAGACAAAATAAAATAGTATCTATTTCCCCAACTAGTTGGCAAGTGGTTGCTTTAAGTGGCTGGTGGTCGCAAGCATATAATTGGTTGCAAAGAGGTAAATTATGCAGCATGAAAGACCTTGATTTGACTGATTTGGTTGCTACCAGGTTGCCACAGTCAGGTTTGTAGTTTGCAAACTTGTCTGCAAACACTTGCCGAGTAGAAGTGAAACTGAAAAGTTCAACACAAACAGAAGATCGAGACTGCCCAAAGTTGAAGTAAAAGTTGTGTCTTTCATGCAAATTACAAACAACCCGGACAAGATAATGATGACAATCAGGTTTTTGGTGCAGCAGTCTCCAGCAGCCACTTGCCAACTGGGGCTTTGCAGGACTATGTTAATTATGAATTGTGGGAATATTAAGACTGTTTTCAACCAAAAGAAAAAAACAAGTTGACCAAGTAAGTGCACTTGGTCTGGAGAATTCCCAGTTAACCAAGAAAAAAGACCTCCAGCATAACCAGTCTCAGGAAGGGTGCTGCAGGTCACTAAATTGAAGATATAAGTTTTCATTTTCTGAAAAATATTTATTTTTATTTATTTTGCTGTTTTGGACTGAACTAGGTGAGCTGTCTCCTCGTGTTTCATATTTTTCTTAAGCTAATGTGACTTCAGGTTTAAGGGTTTAAGTTTGAGTGGTATTTATTTACTCATCTAACTTTAGTTTGTTTTCCAAAATTTTAGCCATTCCTTCATCAAGTATATTTTAAAGAACAAAGCATTTAACAAATCACTTTTACCTCAACTTCAAAAAGTAATTAATCTCAGCAACTTTCTTTGATTCTTTGATAATTATCAGTTTAATTGCTCCACAGTTATATGTGAACATTGCTAGCTTCTAACACCACCAATTGTATTAATGCAGTTTGTGCGGATAAAGAAAGAGAGGGCTTTAGGTCTTTGCATATAAAAGACGGCTGTATAGAAAGTTAATATTTTAGCATAAGTAGCGTTCTGTTGTAAATCTCCTATGGAGTCTATGGAGGGATATTTTTAATGATCGCAATCACCGGGTTCATAAATTCAGAGATGTGCCGGTTACATCTTGACATAAAAAGCATGTTGTTGTGTTCTGATACATGTGGCAGTGCAGATAGGTGGATATTGTACATGCTGTTTATCACAGCAGCAGCTCCACTTCATTATTATTTGGACCTTTGATGTATTTTTGATGATGGCCTTGACTGGTGTAGGTTTTTATGCACGCATGCAGGCACAAACACTCCCTCCTGCTCATCTTCAAAAGAACCAGCATGAACACGTCACTCCATATGGCATCATTATATGTGTGTACATGACGTATTTTAATACATGTGTATCTGCTCCCTCTGAATGATCCCTCTGGGATGTTAGCAATCTTCTGTTTGTACGGTACAGTAGGCCCTCATCCATGCACATATGCATGGGTATGTGTGTGTGTGTGTGTATGTGTGTGTGTTTTGTGGGGTGGGGGTGGGGGGTGGGGGGTGCTTGACTCATCTGTTCATAATGCCGTCCATTATAAACAACAATGGCTTTTAAAAATCACTGCTGGATTTTGTATCTTCACCTGCCTTGTCACTTGTGACTAATGGGCATCACTTCCGAGTGCCTAACCACATAAATGTGAGCAGTGGGACTGGGCTGCTGGCTTATGTAATACTGCCAGCACAGTTTTCTGCCTCCAAACTCCCTCCTCCTTTCCCTCCCTCTTTCTATTGCTCTCTCTCGCTCTCTCTCGCTCCCGCTAACCCTCTATGTCTCTTGCCCTCTCCCAGCTTGGCTGATGTGATGTGATGTGGCTTCGTTGCCTAGCAGCCATCCCCTTGTTTGAGTAACTGGGGAAGTGGAGAGAGATCTGGTCCTCTGAACAGCATACATATACAGTGGGAAGACACAAACAGTCACTACACACACACATACACACACATACACGACGTGTGGTTTTACAAGTTTGACAGTGTCTGTTTGATGTCTGCTGCTACCATGTGAGGAATGAACCAGCTATAATCAATGTCTCGGGCTGGTGTAAATTGATTTGTGTTATGGGAAGAGTCCCTGGCTTTGCTTTTAGAGAAAAAAAAAAGCTGTCTGTTCTTCTCCCTCCCTGCAGTGTTGCAAGCACCAATCTCTACCTTCCCTGTATTCTTTTTTTTTAAAAGAGCCGCCCACGCCCCGATCGCTCTTGGCATGAAAATCCCTCATTCATCAATACTTCGATTTTTGGACATGGAGATTATCTATCACTATCGCCTCTTTTCTGCCATCGGAATAGTCTATTTTTACTCTTTCTCCCTCCTCACTCACTGACTCTCCCTTGTTCCGTCCTCTCCTCATTAGCACCGTGAGAGACACCTACACAGGGGCTTCGGGAGATGAATGGTCTAATCCTCAAGGGGAAGGAGTGAAGTATTACATGGTGCACAAAGATACACACATACTCTGACAATGAGAGACATGCGATGAAGTCATTTTGAGGTACAGCACAAGTATATATGCTTAAACATTTAGTATACACACACATGTACACACATTCATATTTACACTGTCACTGTGATGCCACCCATGCACATCACTCTGGTGTCACTTTCATACCTGAGCAACACACCCTCCACACCTCATGATAAACAAACGTACATGAACCGCGGTGACCGTTTTGGGGGAGGTTTCTATGCAAGCGTGGTATTCAGGTCATCAACGTGGATGCCAACCCGGCAGGGGCACATGGAGGGCACGGGCTGGGCGGTGCTGCTGCTGCGGGGCGCCAACAAGGAAACCGTAAACCATCACTGTGATGACCAAACAAGGCTGGGGAGTCATGGATGGGTGAGGGGTGTGATGGAGGTTATAAGGATCAGATGTGGTTTCATAATCTCATTTATTAATAAAATGACAGATGCGTCGGAGTTGATCCCCAAGGGGAAAATGTGTTCGAGCATTTTCAGTGTTCACGTGTTGACATAAGAATGTATTCAAAATGCTGTAAAAATCATTTGTAAAATTAAAATTAAAATGTTTTGATGATTGAGATGAATTTTCAGTTAAAAAAAACAAACAAAAAAACTCAATAAATGTTTGCCAGTAGTTTTACTATGAGTTACACTATGGTGCTGTTAATAGCTTCAAATTAGCATCTGCCTGAATCAATATACTTTTGGCTATAATGAAAATGTATCATCATAAAATCCATGAGTGTCATTTTCAAGGGTTGGCTAAAAGATTTATCTAACATTTTTTCTCATGACTGCGTGCTTTCTGCAGACTTACTGTACTAGCTAGTAGGCAGTTAGCTTGACCTAGCATAAAGTTTAAGCTAATAGAGGAACAGGATTTTTTTTCTAAAGGTAAGTAAATCTGTTTACTGTAACTTCAAAAGGTCGATATTTAACACAGTGTGTAAAGTCCAAAGTTGTGGAATTTATGCCATTTTTTTTAATAATGCAAAATAGATTTTTGTACTAAGCTATGCTAGCCTTAAATTTACATTTAACAAACAGATATCAGAGCTATATTTACTTTAGTGCCATTCCACAATTTTGACTCTTATGTTACAATTCCCAGTGTTACAGCCTGACAAAAAGTGTTTACAGGTTGGCATACAAGACATTTTTTGCCACTGCTGATAGATGGATGCCAACACTGTTAGCTAGCTATGGATACAAGTTGCTAACCTTTCTAGTATTATTAACCTAGCCCTCCACCTTCCTGAGTGAATAAGGTCAGTTGTAGCTCTGAAAGAATCTACATGCACCATCTAAAATCCTTTGCCAGACACTAGAATATCTGATATACCTGCTTATTGATATAAAATAGGTGTTATATTACTCACATTGTTGCCACCCTGCTGCCAGCGTCATTTTTTGGACATGCTCTGGCACTCATTTTTATGAGGCTGAAATTTTCAAGCAAGCAGGCCCAATAACGCCACAGTAAACAGCAGCCTGGCCAGCAGTTTGTTGTCTTCCATCAATCGCCAGATCCAAAACTTGATAGCCCTCCAGCGCTGTTGGTCCACGTTCCACACACTGTGCGCCAGCGCCAGCACCATTACCCACTTAAACAATGACCCCCTTGTTCACTAACAGTCGCTCATTGGAGCTGATTAAATTTTTAAATGTCATTTAATAGAAGTGTAATGTACCTCCTTTGTGTCTGTCAGCAGCTTGAGATGGGCGGTGAAAGGATACCTAGTTAACCTCCCGGTGTGTCGGACCGCCTGCTAAATTCCTTGGTCGTCACCCTTAGTGTAGAGCTGTAGTGTTGAAAGTGAATGAGCCTGAAGCCCTCTGAACATAAACCTGCAAATATCTTTGTCTATCCTCACTCCTGGTGTTTCAAGGTGATGTGTTATACAGATGGAGCTAGTACTGCAGGGCCATTTTAACTCAACGCAATGTCAGTGAATAAACAATGGCTGCACTGTTCAAGGGTTTATTTGTTTGGAGAACTTTAGCTGGGACTTAACAAACCAATAAGAAGTCCCACACCAGTGCTGGATTAGAGTATTTTTAAGTAACCTCACATTCTTTGAAAATTCCAGTGGTCTGCCTTCGTCATCGCTCTGAAGCCGGGTCACATTTTCTCAGCATGTTGTTTAGTGTTAGCTGTTAATTTGACATCCTCAACTCTGGCCCAACGGTGGAGCTGAGTAGCACGGTCAAATCTTGCTGTAAGCTGCCAAAAACACAGATTTATTCCAGACGTTCAGCGATGCGCTGCATTGCTTCTAAATGGCGACCGGATCTCATTAAGCTGTTCCCAGAAAGAGGAGTTGATGTTTGGGCTGCTTGTACGACATACCCTGGCACCAGATGTTCTTGTACCCATTAAATGAGAGAATTCCACTGTGCCAGCGCAACTGAAATCATGCTTAAAACACCTTTGCCGCCACATGAAAAACTAGCAGAGGTAAGAAACAAAAAGAAGGACAATGTGTGTGTGGCAGGATTTGTTGTGTTACTTTGATGTTTGTACTCGTACATAGATTAAGAAAAATTGATATGTTGGATTATGTTGATTCCCCACAGAGCCTTTAAGAAATGAGTGTGTGTGCACGTGCTCGCAGGTTTGCGCATCAGTTTGCAAAGCGCATTTTTAAAAAGCTAAAGATCACAAGCGCGTGTGCATTCGCTGCATTGCACGGATGTGCAAGTGTTTATTTTAATGCACCGTGCATCTACGAGGGTGAGCTTGATTGACAACAGAGGAGCGGGTGCCTGGCCGTGCCTGTGGTCAAGGCAGGCTGTGGGAGGTGGAGGGTGTTAAGTCGTCAGTATGAGGCATATGTCAGAGATCAGCGCTGTACTGTGGAGATCATTTAGATGAGAAGGGAGGAAGGGCACCAGGGGTTGACGGAGTCAGAGATTACTGGCGGCTTGGTGCCTTGACCGCAGGCCATTCTGGCTGTTTGTTACACACAAACAAACACGCACACATATCTCTCCTACTGTATCTTCCTTGCAAGTGCTGACTGTGGAGATCCAGCTCTCCAGAGAGTGTATGCAAAGCCCCGTGTTAATAAGATTGCCTTCCACTCTGAGTGGTAGTGTATCCTCTTTTGTCTCTGGAATAATGACAGGGGGAATAAGAGACTGGCCCTTCAACCTCATCAAGCTTTTAAGTGTCAGCAACTGAAGGAAAACAGAGTGTGTGTGTATGTGTGTGTGTGTGTGGGAGGGCTTTAACTGTTGTCTAAGTAGATGTGCTATGATAGTGCTGCACAAGACTTCCATGACCACCGTCCCAAATAGTCATGTCAAGACATAAAAGATTCAGCCGGATGCCTCAGAAGTAGCTCGTAACCTCTTCCACAGCAGCTGGCTGAATTGTCAGTGGTGTTTTTTGTTACCTCGCAGATGTTTATGGTCTGCTTGGAATGATAATGTGAAAAATCACTGTGGAAATCCTCCATTTTAACACACTGAACCAGACCTAGTGAATTAGTCCCACTTCATGGACTACAGCAGTGAAAGATGCATTTAAATGGGTGTTTTTCTAGCATCATTCGGTCGTTCGGTAAAACAATAAGCTGTAAATGCAACGCTTAGATACAATCAGCTGTGCTAAATTGAAATTGTAAGTTCAATTCAATTCAGTTTTATTTGCAAAGAGCAAATTTTGGGGCGACCGTGGCTCAGGGGGTTGGGAAGCGTATCTGTAACCGGAAGGTCGCCGGTTCGATCCCTGGGCTCTCTGTCCTGGTCGTTGTTTCCTTGGGCAAGACACTTCACCTACCGACTTCACCTACCGCCTACTGGTGTTGGCCAGAGGGGCCGATGGCGCGATATGGCAGCCTCGCTTCTGT